TGGTCGTGGTTGCGGAGCACCATTGCGAGGTCGTGCACGCTCAGAGCTATCACCCTAGATACTTGTATGTTCGGTGCCCATACACCACGCTCGTACGCTTAGAGCATGAAGGATCCCGAAGGGAATACGTGTCCCGGCAAGTTGAGTAGCCAGGAAGGAGGCCCTCCCGGAAGCACTCGTCTCGGGAAGGAGGGGACGATTCATCTCATCACTCCCGTCGACTGGGTAGGCGGGCTGGCTCCCCGGAAGATGTATCAGTACAGACTTACTAGCGCAGACAGATTTCGAAGGGAGTACGCGCGTGTCCCGGCAAGTTGAGCAGCCAAGAAGAAGGCCCTCCCGGCAACACTCGTTCTGGGAAAGAGGGAACTATTCGTCTCATCACTCCCATCGACTGGGTAGACGGCTGGATCCCCGAGAGACGTATCAGCAAAGATGTACCAGCACAGACGGATCTCGAAAGGAGTATGTGTCCCGACAAGTTGGGTAGCCACGGTAGCCAGGAAGGACGACTCGTCTTATCACTCCCGTCAACCGGGCAGGCGGACACCCTTCCCGGACAGACACCGTGCTAAATCTCGACCTCACGTACGCGAGAGGGTTGCAGAGTCTTCTGCGCAAGTTCAGCTCTGCACTGGACGCGGACGAGCAGAACGGGCCCTGATGCGGTGGAAGATCTGAGGTGAAGGCTACACGAGCCGAGGAGAAAGGTCGTCAGAGGAGAGCCATACGTGGCCGACCTCCACGTCCTAGAACCATCCACTGATACCATGATGAAGCACTGTTGTCAAAGGGGCATTAGTACCATGATGAAGCACTAGGTTAGGGAAATTTTTTCTGTGGGAAGCCATCATGCGCAGGTTCACGATACACTCTAGTAGCTCTAGCCGTTATAGCCCATGTTGTTTTACTTTGATCAATGTCCCGAATAAACGACCACATACTAACCATACTGATACTTTTTTTCGTTGTTTGCTGGTATTAAAGAGCAAAATGAGGATGGATGTAATGAATTTGCTGCCGTAGGCGCCCATTTATAGTTGAGCAAACCGGCTGTATTTCCCATGAATGGCATTGCCCATACCATTGACTATTTACACCTCCTCCATCAACCAATACGACGCATGTAAGAAGAGATATTATCTTCAAAATGCAGCTGCCACCGCAAATATTGGCCAATACTAATTCAGCTGCCACCGCAAGTATTGGCCAATAAGAATTCAGCCTCCCTTAAATTTACTTGGTGGCCGAACCCATAACACAAAACAAATGCGTTGTATTATTATCTTCAAAATGCTGCCTGAAAAAAAAACATGTAGAACTGACGTCGACACTTTTGGCGGGATTACTGTACGTCAAAATCTTTTCCTTTTATATAAGAAGAGATATACAACTATGTATAATTATATGTGATGGAGTATATGGCTAGGACCACACGGTCCACATACTCCTACAACCTCAATAGGCCTAATAATTACAATCGATCCAATACAACAACTGGACACTCCTCGGGCCCAAGCTCGAGGGTTTCGAATAACAACATCTCGCATAAATGCCACCTCGGCACCTCACGTGTGCGAGCCTGGTCATTCTCGTCTCAGGGCGAGCCTCCGGCCTCGGCACAGAGAGCTTTTAGACTCGCGCTTCACGACGTCTAACCACCGCATTTGATGTTGTGTCGTGCGCCCACATCCGCGTCACATAAGTGCTCTCCGACATAAACTAGCTTACAGGTGTATGTGCATTTAATGCACTTAGCATTTATGTGTAGTATAAATAGCAGCCCATTGAGCCGTTGTAACAATTCGAATATTCATCAATATGATTGTTCTATCTCCTACTTAATTGCTTTGCATTCTCTCTACGTGTCATTAGTGGTATCCCGTATTAGGTATTTATCAATATGACACCAAATCTTGGAATTTAACCTTACTAAAGTTTCTAGAACTAAACATTCATTTTGATAATGTAAGTATGTGTTTTTTTGACACCATGTAAGTACGACGTATGTGTTTTGAAACATCGTTTTCGGAGTCAATGATATCGTTGCTTATGCAATTATAGTTTTGTTGTGTTTGCATTAACATTGGACTATTGGAGTTATACTCTAACAGAACAATAGGAATTCATGGTAGTGGTTATCAGTATTGAATCTGGTTAGGACAGATGGCGGTAGGGATTGTCGGCTTTGGTGTGTAAGCGTCGGTAAACATCGATCGTGACATGTTTACCCATAATACTCATGATTGACAGTGATAAAGATGGTCAAAATAATAATTATTCACGATTTTTATCACTTTAGAAAATTGTTTACAGTTTGGAAAAAAATAATCATAGACATGCAGTTTTCTAATTTTGAAGAAACTAAAAGCAGTGTTGAATATTCTTTCCATAAATGATAATTATAGGTGAAACAAACATTATAGGGACTAGGGAGTATTCTTTTTATTCAGGTGTTTACATTTTCATCAAACTTGGAAGACTCATATTAATGTTACTGTGTGGTCTATAGTTTGTGTGCCACCACCGTTATATTTCAATAGCGCAATCACCACGTTGTTATCTTCTTGACTCCAGAACTCCGCGTTTTTTACTTTTTAAAGAAAATTAGTAATATCCGACCAATTTTACTTCTTTTTATACACTTTATAATTGGGTAAAAGTCAAAAGTATTAAAGAAAAGACAATAGACTACAACGAAGATTAGCTATTTTCTCTGACCCTTCTAGCCTGTATCTTATTTGTGACTTCTGTGATCTGTTATACGGAGTATTATTATTTGTTATATTTATGCATCTATTAGCTTAGTCGATCTGTTTTAAATTCGTTATTATATACGGAATACGTAGTAATACTATTAAAAAACTGTTCTGTTCGTCTTATTCTTATTGATTATTGTTTATTCTTATTTTATTCAGATCAGATCAGAAAAATTCATATCAGATCAGAAAGATTCGGATCAGATCATATCAGATCAGAATCATTCAGATCACATCAGAAAGATTCAGACCAGATCAGACCAGATCAGAAAGATTCAGATCAGATCAGAAGCATTCAGATCAGATCAGAAAATTTCAAACATGATTTAGCACTTTTACTATTATAAAATAACAATAATAATAATAATAACAATAATTATTATTATTGTGATTATTAATATTATGATTATTATTGAGGTGATGATTATTATTATGATTATTATTATTATTATTATTATTATTATTATTATTGTTATTGCCATTGTTGTTGTTATTATTATTATTATTGTTTTTTTATGTTATTATTCTTGTTATTATTTTTATTATTGCTATTATTACTATTATCATTACTATTATTACTATTTTTACTATTATAATTATTATTTTTATTAGATTTATGATTATTATTATTATTACTATTATTATTATTATTATTATTTATTTTTATTATTATAAAGAGTAATTATTATTATAATTATAGAAATAATTATAATTAAAAATATAATTACAATTATAATTATAGATAGAATTATAATCATTGTAGTAGGTATAATTTTTTATAACTTTAATTATAATTATAATTATAATTATAATTAAAGAAATATTCAGATCAGATCAGAAAGATTCAAATCAGATCAGAAGGATTCAGATCAGAAAGATTCAGATCAGATCAGATTAGAAAAATTCAGATCTGATCAGATCAGATCAGAAAAATTCAAATCAGATCAAATCAGAACTTAATAAATTCAGATCAGAAACATTCAGATCAAACGAAGAGAACAACTTCTAAGTGTATTTGGGGCGCTTAGCTTATTTACTGATACTACGTACTACTTCCGTTCTGCTAACATTGAAACATAAAGATGTGACACAATTACTAAGAAAAGTCAATTTATGTGGTCGGTATGAATTGAAACAGTAAATTTAAAGTAAGAATGATTTATAGTCACACAAAATTTACCAAATTTGATATGTGACAATCTTAATGAGATTTTTAGAAAAGGTAAAATAGAAAAATCCTAATACACATAGTTGCCCTTATTTTAATTTATAATAAAGTGTGTGCACTTGTATTTAAAAAGGGGGAAATCGCATATATAGTCCCTCAGTTATCCAGAAAATTAAAATCTCAAACTTGTATTTCTGATATTGTAAATGTCACCCCTCAATTGTCCAAAATGTTGTAAATGTGGTCCTTTAAGTAGTGAAATGTACTCTCACCCTCATTGTATATTTCACCACCTCAAAAGGACCACATACATTTACAGCATTTTGGACAATTGAGGGGTAATATTTACAATCTCTGAAATACATGTATGATATTTTAATTTCGTGAATAACTGAGGGACCATATATGCGATTTTCCCTTAAAAATGTTTCAATTTGCGGTTGTAAATATGATTGTTGTGCCTCTAAATAAGCATCACAAATTATTAGACATGTGATAGTATTATGGTCACTAGACTAATCTAAATTCAAAATTGGCGGAGTATGTAAGCATGTTTTTATATGGACTACTTTTAATCCCAGAGTAGATACGACTAGAACTAAATAGACGAGATCAAACCAGATCAAAATTTAAACAAACCAGATGAGACAGACCAAACTTTCGTAATTATAAAATATACAGAGCCTAGACATTTATACCTAAATTAAGGTCCTTATATCTAATTTTAATGTGACGACACCGTTGACTGTTACTACCTCCGTAACACAAAGATCTTCTCATTTTGACTTTTCACGGTCTTCTAAGTTGAACTTTGACTCTAAATATCTACATATCTATATTTATAAAATTCATAATAAATTAACATTCAAATAATATGTTTTACAATGAGGTATATAAAATAAATTTTTAATCATAACATAATGTGAGTTTTGAATAATTAATGGTCAAAGTTTATAAAGTTTGACCCCAAAGAGTCAAACTAGGAAGATTCTAGGGTTAAGGAGGTAGTATTATTCTCTCTATTTAGTAAAGAGATACCGAGAGTTTTTATACAGAAGTTGAAAAGAGGTACTGTTTGTTTTGGTAGGGTGAGGGAGGAGTATTCATTTTGATTATTATTTATTTATAGGGAAGAATTGAAGAAGACGTCAACTTAATTAATACTTATGTAAGGGGGCACTTAGCCAGCTTGCTGTTGGTTTCTGATCAGTCGTTCGCATCGATCAACTGGCTACTACTTAGTAATTAATTTGTCTCATCGGCGCAGGGGGCACTCGATCAGCCGATTCAAAGGCATCCGATCCCACATGCGGAAAGAATAAATCCTCATCATCAGCTGATCGATCAAACAATGCCCCCACGCGCGGCCTGCTAGGTACATATATAACGCCGCCCGGATCAAGTCTAGTGTAGATCGAAAGTGGCCGGCGATCGAGCCGGTGAGATCAATTATCAATCAATAAAACCTAGCCAGCCAGCCAGCTGCACATATATACATACATATATATATATAGTTGGGAAAGATGATGATGAGGTGTACGCGACATGTGGGCGACATGAGCAGCGCCATCGGCGTTTGTGCTTCTTGCCTCCGTGAAGAGCTGCTCGCCATCAACGATGCCCAGGCCCGCACTGCCACTCTTCATCGTCATGATGATGACCCGTCGCCGCCCCATATTGCTTTTCCGCGCTCCGTTTCGCCCTATACCCACGCCGGCCGCCAACCCGTTTTCTACGCCACTCCACAGGTTGGCCCCGGCGGCCAACTCATTTCCTGGGAACATCACTACCAGGCGGCTCACAGGAAGAAGAAGCACAACGGCCGCCGCCGCCGCTCCCTCTTCTCTCATTTATTCAACAAGTCATCCGACCCGCCGGAGGACGACTCTGATGATCCCTTGTCTGCCGCTAGTAATAAGCCTTCTTCTTCTTCTTCATCCACCACCAGCTGGTTCTCCAAAGTTCTCCGTCGCAATCGGGACAAGAATAATAATAATAATAATAAATTCCATACTATTTCGTTCCGGGATCGTGATAATGATGATGATGATGATGATCGGTCTACTTCTACTGCTACGCTCGCCGCCGCAGCCAGACACACGGGGGCGGGCACAAGAAACTGCGGCAGTCACGCTGCAGAAGACGAGGACGAAGACCACTGCGGATCGAGTGGCTGCTCGTCACGCTCCGCCGCCTCCCCGATCCGAAAACAGACCACTCCGGCCAGCTCCTTGGCGCAGCAGAGAGGCGGCAGAAAGAGCGGCGGTTCCAGCCGTGGGATGACAACGACGTTCTGTTTAAGCCCCTTGGTGTGGGCCAGCCCTAATAATAGGCGGCACAAAGCGGGAATGTCGCCCGAAGTGGTGTATTCCGGTCAGAATACTGTTCCGACGACTCCTTTGGACAAGACCCGTTCGAGAAAATTTTCTGATTTCGGGAGGTTCCATCACAATCATTGAATGATCGAACGTACGTACGTTTTTCTTGCCGACCAATCCTTAATTAGGTAACAAGGCTCACGATCACATCGATCGATATTTTAAGACAATTTTGCTTAGGGTACACAAGATGAACACAAATTGTACGGCATATAAAAGCCTAAAAAATTATCATCTCATTTACCTCTACCTAAAGAACTCCTCTCTCCTCTCTTTCTTCCCCCGCGCTCCCCCCTTCCAGCTGTTCACCAAAGCTTCTTCTTCCTCTTGTTCTCTTCACAGCTCGACGAAGGAATACGACAGAGGAACAGGGGTCTAGTCTAAAGCTATTACGTGAATGGATTACAGTCTTGAGAGGAGATGGCCTTCATTACTAGTTACGACATGGGCGAGTTTATGCATGGCACCCCAAGGAGAGGAGTCCGGATCTGAAGCACCGGCGACACAAGCTGAAGCTCAACTCAGTACGAAAGACGTCGGCGACACATATTCCGGACATTAATCATGGAGGAACGTCGAACGTAATGTCTGTGTACACAAGCATTTCGATGTTTCAGCGCCTATAGCAGTGAATAACATTGTATTTGTATAATTTAACATCCATTTGTAACATCCATTTGTGTTACTCAATCGATTTCAAGTAAAACTATTGTATTTGATGTGTTGTATTTTCCATGTAGTAAATGTTTGTATTTTTATTGCCTGTGTACACCGATGAAATCAAGTAAATGTGTGTATTAGTATTGCATGTGTACAGAGACGAAATGAAGTAAATGTTTGTTTTGATATTGCCTGTGTACACTGACGAGATCATGTCAGAGCATTAGAATGGTGTAATGTCTAGTAAAAATCTGAAAATTAAAAAAAAAACTAATTAATATGGCTAGATGTCTTACCTTGCGAAAAAGATCATGATATGGGAGACCCGGTCAAAAAGCGTAAGTGTTTTGCACAATAAGATGAGTTTGCAAAACGTCAATGTCCCCTTCAATATGCTGTGAAGGTTAGATCAGTTTGCAAAATGTCAATGTCCCCTTTCCATACATTATGGGAAAGAAAATTGAATTTAAAGAGATTAAGGGGTGAATTGAGAAAGCTGGCAGAAAGATTAGAAGAACAGATTTACTCAGAGTTTCAAAATGTATCTATAATTTCACTCTTATAGTTTAACAACCATGCTTAAGATGTTCAAAAAAATTCTATTTTAGTGGCTTAGATTGGCCTATTTCTCTTTATAATTGTTTTTAGGGAAATTAACTTTAAATAATACAAACTATCTTTGATGAACCAATAATAATACTGATGGAGTATATGGCCCAGGAACCCCCGGCCCATAGACTCCTACTTCTCCTGTACAAGTCCATTGAGCCCAGAGAGCAACTCAGGCCCAAATGCAACGGCCCAAACCTCAAAGAAGCCCAGAATACACACTGGGTGCCTTCGGCCTCCTTGGCCGAAGGCTCCAAAAGTCACATCATAGCTTCTTCGGGCACACGAAGCCACTGGGAGAAAACGGCGTAAAATGGTAGCCCTCGGCTACCAGGAGCCTTCGGCACACAAGGTGCCCTCGGCACTTGGGGAGCCTTCGGCATCCACGTGTCTCTTCGGCTATACAGGGGTCCTCGGCGGAAAACAAGAGCCTTCGGCCTAACATGCTCAATCATCGAAGATTCCTTTTGGGGACAGCCAACCACCGCATTTAATGCAACGTCACGTCCGCCAACCGCATTCAATGCGGTGAACATGCCACTGCCGGTGCCACCCGATTGATGTGACCCTTCGGCTGTTGGATTACTGACGCGTATACTCTCATCGCATTTATTGCTGCTATAAATAGCAGCCCATTTCTCCTTGTAAACGATCCCAGATCCAGATCCCAACTCTCACACGCTGAGTTCATTTAATAAAATCGACTCTCTCTCCTCCTATTTGTTCTGACTTCTCTCTAGTTATTCCCGCAATAACCCCTCGGATAAGATACCCCCCGGGTAGAATATCCATCATTTGGTGCTCTCGTTGAGAGGGTCTGAACAATCAAGTAAGAAACCCTCCCCCTCTACCAAACGCAAAACACCTATCGAAAATGGGAAAAACTCGTGCTCAATCCAAAACCCTCGAGGAGAACCACGTAGCCCCCGGCGAAACCAACGGGGCTGAGGCCTCAAACAGGCTCTTGATACCCGAGGGTGGTATCATCCTCGAATTGGAGCAGGCTACTGCTGACCTCCGACAACAGCTACAGAAGAACGCCCCTGATGCCCGCATTGGCCTTGATAATCGAAGGAGGGATCGGAGTGAGAACCAAGTTCCCCCTCCGGCCCCGGCCATCGATCTTCAGGCTGCCTTTGCGGCCTTTGTTCAAAACATGGCTCTCAATTCCGGAGCCCTCGTCTCTCAAGCACCCCTTCAGCCCTATGCTGGAGGAAACGTTATCCAACTGCCACCGCTCCCTCCTTTGTTCAACAATCCTCCCCCGGGGATTGGCAACGTCGAGGGGGTCATGGCGCAGGATACCGCCTCCCAAGAGGCCCAATCCAGGGATAAGCGCCCCATGATGAAGGAGAAACCCCGAACCTCTGTACTGTACTTGAGAGGTTGGGGGGAGTTCCCGGGCGCCGAGGGGTCCAAGACCGCCTCGGCAAGCAGGAATTCAGCAGGCCCCAGGAGAGTGGAGCCTCCGCTTCGGGAGCCGAGGGCATGCCTCCACCCCGGAGCAAAGGCAAAGCCCTCCTCCATGCCGATGACGCCAGGCACCAAATCAATCAGGCGCAATCCTTCCGGGCCAACTCCCAAGGGGTTGCCCCGAAGGATCCCAAGGACGAAATCATCGAAGCCCTCCTCCGTCAACTTGAGGAGAATCGTCAGGCACCCCCAACGGCTTCCACAGCAAGGCCAGATCCAGAGTACGCTGACCTCCGGGCACAAGTGGAAGAAATGAAGCGTAATCGTGTCATTCCTCGACGCATTCCGCGGGTATCATCAAATCTATATGCATGAGGAAGACGCTGAAAAAACAGCATTCATGACACCCGAAGGCATCTTCTGTTATCTTGTGATGGCCTTCGGCCTCAAGAACTCAGGCGCCACCTACACCCGCATGGTGGCTAGGGTCTTTCAAGCTGTCCTAGGACGCACTATGGAGGCCTATGTTGACGATATGATCATCAAAAGCAAGAAGGCAAGCACTCACGCCGAGGACCTCAGGGAAATCTTCGCCATCATGCAGAAATTCAATCTCCGGCTAAATCCAAAGAAATGCACCTTCGGCGTGCAAGGAGGGAAATTCTTAGGCTACATGGTAAGCCGAAGGGGTATCGAGGCCAACCCCGAGAAAATTCAGGCCATCATCAACATGGAGCATCCACGCAGCGTCAAAGAAGTTCAACGGTTGACGGGTCGCCTGGCGGCCCTCAACCGCTTCCTCTCCAAATCAGCCGAGAAGGCCCTCCCCTTCTTCCAAGTCATGAGGAAGACAGCGGGCTTCCAATGGACATCTGAATGCCAAGAGGCCTTCGACGAACTTAAGAAGTACCTCTCTTCTCCCCCAGTGCTCTCCAAACCAAAGGTGGGGGAGACCTTATACTTATACCTCGGCGTTAGCCCTGCGGCCATCAGCTCAGTACTAATCCGAGAGGAAGACGGCATCCAACATGCCATCTTCTACGTCAGCAAAACCCTCCGGGAGGCCGAACTCGGGTACTCTCCCGTCAAGAAGACGGTGCTAGCCATCGTTTGGACCGTCAAGAGGCTTGGTCACTACTTTCAGGCTCATCCAGTCCAGCTGCTCACACATCAACCCCTCGGCGCTCTCATGAGAAGCCCCACAAGTTCTTCCCGAATGGTGAAATGGGCCATCTTCCTTAGCCAATACAACATAGACATTCGTCCGAGGCCTGCCATTAAGGGCCAAGCCCTGGCAGACTTCGTGACGGAGTGCACAGCAAGATCGGCGACGGGAGAGGAGCCTTCGGCACCCCTCGATGAGTGGTGGACCCTCTATACTGATGGCTCCTCGGCCGCCACCAAAGCATGCGGAGGGGGAGTAGTTCTTATCACACCCGAAGGCTTCCGCGACTATTATGCCATTCGCTTCTCCTTCAAAGTCTCCAACAACGAAGCCGAATACGAAGCCCTCCTCTGTGGCCTTCGGCTGGCAGCAACTCTGAAGGCTAAAATGATCCACGTCAAGTGTGACTCCAAACTTGTCGTGGGTCAAATTTCCGGGGAATACGAAGCCAAGGAAGGGAGGATGAAACAATACAAAGAAGCGGCCAATGAGTTGCTTAAGGTATTTGAGGCACACTCTCTTACCCAAATACCGAGGGCTCAAAACTCCGAGGCCGACATTCTATCCAAGTTCTCGGATGAATCCCCCGAGCACCTCTCCAAAATTGCAAGAATTGAGGAACTCAGCCTCTCAAGCATCCACGCGAGCCCCGTCATGAACATTAACCTAAGGCCGGAGGATTGGATCTCCGACATCATCACCTTCATCACCACAGGGCAACTGCCCCAGGATGAGGCCCGCGCAAGATTGATAAAACTGAGGGCTCCCAACTACACCCTCGAGAATGGTAGGCTCTACAAGAGATCCTACAACGGCACCCTCCTTCGGTGCCTTCATCAAGATGAAGCCGAAGTCGCTATGGAGGAAGTGCACAGTGGCACTTGCTCAGCTCACCAGGGACCCTTCTCCATGTCCCGAAGGCTCATAGTTCAAGGCTACTTCTGGCCCACGATGGCTAGAGATTGTGCTGATCTAGCCCGAAGGTGCACCGCTTGCCAACACTTTCAGAAGGCCCCCGGCAGACCAGCGGTCAACTATGCCCCCATCAGCACCGCTATACCCTTCTCCAGATGGGGTATTGACCTAGTAGGCCCTCTGCCGAGGGGTACCTCCAACAACAGGTACATCATTGTGGCCATTGACTACTTCACCAAATGGGTAGAGGCCGAGCCCCTCGCCAGCATCACTGAGGCCCGGTGCCGCCACTTCGTCCTCAAGAACATTCTGACAAGATTTGGCGTCCCCCAACAAATCATCTCCGACAATGGCACTCAATTTGAGGCAGCCCCCTTCTGCGCTCTCCTCGGGGCGTGGGGCATCAAACACACCTTTTCATCCGTTGCCTACCCTCAGGGCAACGGGCAAGTAGAAAATGCCAACCGCACCCTCCTCGAAGGGTTGAAGAAGAAGCTGGAAGCCGAAAGGGGAGGCTGGGTAGAAGAGCTCCACAACATTTTATGGGCCTACCGCACCACCCCTCGGCGCGCAACAGGCGAAACACCCTTCTCACTATGTTATGGCTTCGAGGCTAAGGCTCCAACGGAGGTGACCCTTCCTACCCGGAGGGTGGAGCAATATGAACCCGAGGTCAACGACGCCAACATGGCCCTCGACCTCCATCTCATCTCAGAGCGCCGAGAACAAGCCTTCCTCAGGGCTGAAAACTATAGAAGACAAGTCAAAGGTTACATCGACGCCAAGGTCCGCTCCCGGGAATTCCAAGTGGGGGACTACGTCCTCCGACGAAGGGAGGCCAGCCTACCCACCGAGGGAGGAAAGATGGCGCCTAAGTTTGAAGGCCCCTACGTTGTGTCAGCCATCATCAAACAAGGGACATACAAGCTAAAACGCCCTAATGGGACAGAGGTCCCTAGACATTGGAATGTGCACCACCTAGTCAAATTTTATCAATGAGCGGCCAAGCCCTCATCCTTCACAAATGTACTTGATCAACGGCCCAAGGCCCCACTTCACT